AGGGGGAGGGGGCTAATAGAAAGCTGTTGACGGGCATGCAGCCATCCAACGGGGGAGAGACGCCGGCCGTCAGTTATCTTGTCAAAAATGGCGAGCGATGAGGTAAAGATCCTGAAGGAAAAAGCGAAAGAAGCGATCGACATATACTCTCCTGAATTATATGAACTGAACAAAAGTATTTGGGAAAACCCAGAGCTAGCACTCCATGAGTCATACGCTCACGATCAGCTAACAGAGTTCTTGGCGGATCAAGGCTTCTATATAACTCCTCATTACACTTTGGATACAGCTTTCCGAGCTGAATGCGGAGAGGATGGAGGACTGACAATTGGTCTGATTAGCGAATATGATGCTTTACCCGAAGTAGGACACGCTTGTGGACATAATCTGATCGCTGAATCAGGTGTAGCAGCGGCTCTAGGTATGTTTGTCTTGTTTATACTTACTTGATACACTTTTACTTGCCCAGTATATGGATCCATTTTTATCAGGCGGGTGTTGACCTATTTTCTCATTTGTTACCCACACTGTGTAACCTATACTTTTTTAAAAATCGGCTTCACATTGCTATATAAAAACATCGCGAGGTCATGTCTGCATATAATACTATTGTGGTTGTTGTCGTTGTTTATTTTGCCATTTTGTAATTTATGATACATCAGTAGAAATGAAAGGAATTAAATATACACTGGTACAATATACCTGAAGATTTCGTATGTGGCGAGGAAATCCGTAAGGAAACCATTGAAGAGGGCCAAGAGGCCTATGTGAGCTACAGGCTCCTCGTATTTTACAAACGGGGGTATCAGTTTTTTAGCGTGTCTCTCTCTCTGTCTCTCTCACACACACACATCTAAATGTAGATGTGTGTGTGTGTATTGTAGTAGTTTAAACTACTACAACATGGGGGAAATGACAAAATGGGGCAATGGTTGGATGCCTTTTATGCTGAGGTTACTGAAGGGGCTTTCTTGAAACTGGAAACTGAAATACAATCTCCATAAGGTGATAGAATTGAGAAACTGAACCGAGCAAGTAAACATGTGAGGTTCAAAAACATATATCAGGTTTAGTGCTCAGGTGTTAGCCGAGAAATTTCAAAACTGGGATGACTCAGCTGGGGCGGATCCAGGATTTAGTCAAGGGGGGTTTGGAGATTTGTCCCCCTTCTAAAGGGTCCAAGATTTGGAAATTAGGTCTCTGGAAATATGATTTCCAGCATGCTGAGGAAAAAAATAGAGGATTTGGCTGAACCACCCAAACCACCCCTGGATCCATCCCAGCTCAGTAGCACAATGGAACTAAAAGATCGAGGGTTTTCTCATAAAACTCCCCATTCTGCAGAGTATGGCAAGACTCAACTATGTCTAGCTTATGCAGAGCCATTTTTAGCCATGTGCCTGTCTGCAATGTGACTGAAAATCCATAACGTTTTAAAAAAAATTGTGTATGCACCAGTCATGCTCTGCAAACTGTATAATTCCTACATGTAGACCAGCCAAAGTCAGTGAAACATCTTGTGAAAACAAACATTCCCTTGATCAATGATCCTAAATTGTTCATCCAGTTTGAGACCTCTTGAATTCTTAGGTCTCAAGAATGCTTTGAATGCAGTTAATCAGAAACCTAAAGTTAAAGTAGTTCTCATTGGAACTCCTGCTGAGGAAGTAGATGGCGGCAAAATATCAATGATCAAGAATGGTTGCTTCAAAGATCTTGACTTTTGTATGATGGTTCATCCATGTCCGGTAGATGTTCTCAAACCTGTGATTTTATCTAGTGAAGGTGCTACAATCACCTACAAAGGTCGTGCTGCTCATGCTGCAGCATTCCCTTGGGAAGGAATCAATGCCCTGGATGCAGCAGTCATGGCTTACACGAGCATAAGTGCACTAAGACAGCAGATGAAGCCAGAATGGCGTGTCCACCTTATTATTTCAGAGGGGGGTGTCAAGCCAAACATTATTCCTGACCGAGCTCAGCTTCAATGTTATATTCGAACAATGAATGACAATGACCTTGAGGTGTTAAAAGAAAAAGTTAAGAATTGTTTTGAAGCAGCTGCATCAGCTACAGGTAAGCAACTTTTCAAAACAATATTGTGGTAGAGTTGTTCCATGTCCTCTGTTTCTTTTTCTCTTTAACATCTACGTCTTTTTCAAGAGGTAAAAGGTCGCCTGTAGGAGTGAACCGAAATATCTAATTCCCAACTAGATTAAGAAATTGTAAGATCGGAAGAAGATTTGGTCTGGGCACGGAAGAATATTGTGTTAGCAGGGAGTGTTAGCATAAGATGTGCCCCAGTGTTTAAAATGTGTCATTTTCTAACAGGGTGCAAAGTCTTTATGGAGTGGGAAACAGCTACTAAATATTCACATCTGGAAACCAACAACACCCTTGCTGAACTTTACCAAGCCAATGCTGAGTCCTTAGGAGTTTCATTTCCACTTGAGGCAAAGTTCTCAGCATCCACTGATATGGGAAATGTTTCACATGTAGTTCCTTCCATCCATCCCATGTATTCTATTGGCACAACTGCACCCAATCATTCTCATGCATTCACAACAGCAGCAGCAACAGAAGAAGCTCATAAGAACACTCTGATTGCCAGCAAGGCATTAGCCATGACAGCTATTGATGTGTTGTGCAAACAAGATTTAATGGATAAAGTAAGGATTGATTTCAAACAACCAAATAATGGTGAAAATTAACAGCAACACTGAGAAAAATTAGTGAATATATGAGTCATTACAAGTAATAAGGGACAATTTTTGCGAAATTACTTCAAGAGATATTTATTTTAAGGTAAATAACTGACTATGAGTACAGTGTGTAATTGAAAAATTGTTGAATATAAAACTACTACAGGTTTGTTGAAACTTTTGAATGCTTTAACTTAATTCCTATGTGGCTGATGTACCATGATTGCACTTGATGTGGTTTGACTAGGAAAGAATAAATAAGATTAGATATAAGCTAAAAGCTACAATGGAAAGAATTGAAGCAAAGAGACAAATTTTCGAATGTTTCTTTGCATTGATGATAGAAATGTCTGGACTTGAGTTGAGTTGAGTTGAGCTTCACTGCATGTAAAAGATTAATTCAGAATATTTAATTTAATCAAGCACAAAGTAAATTTGAATATACACTGCCAGGTTTACATGCATGCAAGAATTATTATGGACTCCAAAAGCTCTTGATTGTTAGACAAATTCTCTTTATAAGTACCATTGGAAAAGTCTAGAGAACAGTGTGGAAAATATGCATGCTGATGTAGAGGGTATACTAATTTGGTTAGTGGGTTAACCACGAAGCAGAGATGCTAACCTTTGGAGATTTAAAATCTGGAAATTTTTCTCCTATGCCACCACCACATCAACTCAGCAGCACTCCCTCTCCCCTCCCCCTTCCCTAACTGTCATGGACAGCCATGAAATTTCTTCTAACCCTAACACCGGCAGCCCAAGCTCACTACTAGAAAAGCGGACGTGACTCTTACAGTTGCGCAATGTTTTATATTTATAAAGGTTTGTATCGGATGTTATTGGTTTGCCTTAAAGAGAGAAAAAAATGTCTTGTTTTGAAATATAATGGACTTACCTTATTGCCTTGTTGTTTTCTTACCAGCGTCCCAGGCCATTTTGAAGCGTTTTCGGCGAGTTAGCGCTATTTTGGTGTTCAAATTAACTGCTAAAGGAAATACTTTTTTTTAGCAGTTGAACACCAAACTAGCGCTAACTCGCCGAAAACGCTTCAAAATGGCCTGAGACGCAGGTAATCAACAAAGAAAACAACAAGGCAATAAGGTAAGTCCATTTTATTTCAAAACAAGACATTTTTTTTCTCTCTTTTAAGGCAAACCGATAACATCCGATACAAACCTTTATAAATATAAAACATTGCGCAACACTGTAAGAGTCACGTCTGCTTTTCCATTATTGAGCTTGGGCTGCCTGTGACCCTTAGCATTGTACTTGACACCAACGTCGTTTCCAGAGTCCTCTGTCTTCCTTACCCGAGAGAGAAAGAGTGAGAGACCTGGGAACGAGGTTGAGGAGTCACTCGAGTGTCACGCGATGAGTAGGAACGAAAATCATGGCGACCGACTTGGAGGGTAACCTGAAGCAAAGAGCAAAAGAGGCGATTGATGTTCATTCTTCCGACTTATATGACCTGAGCAAAAGAATATGGGAAAAACCTGAACTGAATTTTACCGAGACTTACGCTCACGAGCAACTAACAAAGTTTATGACGGAACATGGTTTCAGAGTAACTCCTCATTACACTTTGGATACAGCTTTCCGAGCTGAATGCGGAGAGGAAGGAGGTCTGACAATTGGTCTACTTAGTGAATATGACGCTTTACCTGAAGTAGGACACGCTTGTGGACATAATCTGATCGCAGAATCAGGAGTGGCAGCGGCTTTAGGTAAATTCTCCATTACAGTGTGCACGGTGTTATTGATCTAAAGAAACAATTCGAAGACAGCTTTCGAAAGATTAAAATATGAAATGAAGTGAATCTCTTTGTGAAGGTAATGAACGCGTTTTTTGTCAAGGTCGTGTAATAAATACGCCGAATTTTTTTACGAGTTTTGTGGTATTTCGACAAAAAAAATAGGTCAATCAGATCAACATAGTTAAGTAAGTTAGTACTTTGCCAGTATTATTGTCATCAAGACACCTACGTTAGTAATTCTTTGCAATTTTAAGCATTGTCTTAGGTAAAAAAAATTGATAATCGTATTACAATTAATATTTAGATCTTTCAGTATAGAAAAAAAAAGTCAGTCAGTACTGTGCAATCTACTATATTGAAATGTTTTTCTTCTTTTAAATTTTGCATTTAAATTCTTGAAATTATATAGAAAAGGTGATGATAGTAAGTTAAAGTAAGAAACTTGCTTGCATAATTTACCTTTTCTTGTTACTGTTATTTTTGTTTACAGGTCTCAAGATTGCTTTGGAATCAGCTGAACAGAAACCNCTGGATGCAGCAGTCATGGCCTATACGAGCATAAGCGTATTGCGACAGCAGATGAAGCCCAAATGGCGAGTTCATTCCCGTGGAACGGAGTCAATGCACTGGATGCAGCAGTCATGGCCTATACGAGCATAAGCGTATTGCGACAGCAGATGAAGCCCAAATGGCGAGTTCATTCCCGTGGAACGGAGTCAATGCACTGGATGCAGCAGTCATGGCCTATACGAGCATAAGCGTATTGCGACAGCAGATGAAGCCCAAATGGCGAGTTCATTCCCGTGGAACGGAGTCAATGCACTGGATGCAGCAGTCATGGCCTATACGAGCATAAGCGTATTGCGACAGCAGATGAAGCCCAAATGGCGAGTTCATTCCCGTGGAACGGAGTCAATACACTGGATGCAGCAGTCATGGCTTACACGAGCATAAGTGCACTAAGACAGCAGATGAAGCCAGAATGGCGTGTCCACCTTATTATTTCGGAGGGGGGTGTTAAGCCAAACATCATTCCTGACCGAGCTCAGCTTCAATGTAATATTCGAACAATGAATGACAATGACCTTGAGGTGTTAAAAGAAAAAGTTAAGAATTGTTTTGAAGCAGCTGCATCAGCCACAGGTAAACAACTTAGTCTAGAGATATCAGGAGAAGCAAATTTACTTCCTCAAAGATCTTCCACACTCCTTCCAAATTTGCATAAGAACACCCTGTTTTGGTCTTAATTTCCTCCAAGCTTCAACAAGGGCTTTGATAACTTTTTCCAAGAGAGGCTATATATACAGATGGTGTATTAATTAGGTGGCCATGTTTGAAAAGGGGTGTGGACAAAACCTGGCCTACCCTGTGGCCTACCCTATGGCCTACCCTATGGCCTACCCTCTGGCCTACCGGTGGTCAGATTTTTAAGAACATAAAAGTAAAATCAGTAAGAGTTGAACGAACACGCTGGTGTACAATTATCTTTCTCTGAAAAGGGTATACTAAGAGGTCGCTAACACGATTTTCAACGTCCAAGGGAACGAAACACTGCAAATATCACAGCACTCAACCATAACGGTAGGTTAAGGGGGAGGGGAGAGGAGGGGCCAATATTGCGTGGTCGCAGAGGATATACAAAATGGCAGCTTTATGATGCAGGCTGTCAGTTGGTAACATATAGTGGAGTGCTGGTGTAAAAATGTAATGAACGGCGTTATATTGGAGAGCATTCATATCCAGGCAAGAAAACGCAAACATTACATGCCAGGCCAATTGTTTAAGTGCCCTCAAGTGCTGTAGAGTATTGAATTTGCAATGAGCACCCACCCCAGGACACGCATGCATTGCTGTCGTAAACATTTCGCAAACTTTACTTGCTTTTTCAAAGAAAGGGCCAGTATTGCATTAATTTGAAAGGAGAGCTGATATGATGATGTTTGCCCAAAAGTTGTGTTTAACCAGCTTCTGTTCCTTGATTTCCTTATTCTATCAGAAGGTTAAGAAATTGCGATTGGAATGTGGCCGCCAAAACAGCAGAAGAAAGTCGTTGGTAAGATGGTACTCAGGAAAACATTGAAAGGTTTCCAGCAATGCTATCCTTTTAAAAATCTGACCACAGGTAGGCCATAGGGTAGGCCATAGGGTAGGCCACAGGGTAGGCCACAGGGTAGGCCATGGCCTAGGCCAGGTTTTGTCCACACCCTTTGAAAAAGGGCCAAGCCAAAGATAAGAGTCTACTCCACAGGCTGAACAGATGGTGGTAGAAGGTCTTTAATGGGTGGCATTAGACCATTGGTAAGGGGCTTTTTGTCCAAAGTCGTGGCTTAAAACAAGAATACAATCACAAGGATCAAACAACCCAATTATTTTTATACTAGAGGTCCAATTCCTGCAATTAATTGGTCTCTTTCATAAACAAATGTCCAAATTTGCTCAGTAGATTTTACAAACTGTAAGGTAGAAAGGAGATTTGGTCTGACATGCCAGGAAAAATGTTGTATTACCTAATGTTTAAAATGTGTCATTTTCTAACAGGGTGCAAAGTCTCTATGGAATGGAGAACAGCTACAAGATATTCACATCTGGAAACCAACAACACCCTTGCTGAACTTTACCAAGCCAATGCTGAGTCCTTAGGAGTTTCTTTTCCACCTGAGGCAAAGTTCTCAGCATCCACTGATATGGGAAATGTTTCACATGTAGTTCCTTCCATCCATCCCATGTATTCTATTGGCACAACTGCACCCAATCATTCTCATGCATTCACAACAGCAGCAGCAACAGAAGAAGCTCATAAGAACACTCTGATTGCCAGCAAGGCATTAGCCATGACAGCTATTGATGTGTTGTGCAAACAAGATTTAATGGATAAAGTAAGGATTGATTTCAAACAACCAAATAATGGTGAAAATTAACAGCAACACTGAGAAAAATTAGTGAATATATGAGTCATTACAAGTAATAAGGGACAATTTTTGCGAAATTACTTCAAGAGATATTTATTTTAAGGTAAATAACTGACTATGAGTACAGTGTGTAATTGAAAAATTGTTGAATATAAAACTACTACAGGTTTGTTGAAACTTTTGAATGCTTTAACTTAATTCCTATGTGGCTGATGTACCATGATTGCACTTGATGTGGTTTGACTAGGAAAGAATAAATAAGATTAGATATAAGCTAAAAGCTACAATGGAAAGAATTGAAGCAAAGAGACAAATTTTCGAATGTTTCTTTGCATTGATGATAGAAATGTCTGGACTTGAGTTGAGTTGAGTTGAGCTTCACTGCATGTAAAAGATTAATTCAGAATATTTAATTTAATCAAGCACAAAGTAAATTTGAATATACACTGCCAGGTTTACATGCATGCAAGAATTATTATGGACTCCAAAAGCTCTTGATTGTTAGACAAATTCTCTTTATAAGTACCATTGGAAAAGTCTAGAGAACAGTGTGGAAAATATGCATGCTGATGTAGAGGGTATACTAATTTGGTTAGTGGGTTAACCACGAAGCAGAGATGCTAACCTTTGGAGATTTAAAATCTGGAAATTTTTCTCCTATGCCACCACCACATCAACTCAGCAGCACTCCCTCTCCCCTCCCCCTTCCCTAACTGTCATGGACAGCCATGAAATTTCTTCTAACCCTAACACCGGCAGCCCAAGCTCACTACTAGAAAAGCGGACGTGACTCTTACAGTTGCGCAATGTTTTATATTTATAAAGGTTTGTATCGGATGTTATTGGTTTGCCTTAAAGAGAGAAAAAAATGTCTTGTTTTGAAATATAATGGACTTACCTTATTGCCTTGTTGTTTTCTTACCAGCGTCCCAGGCCATTTTGAAGCGTTTTCGGCGAGTTAGCGCTATTTTGGTGTTCAAATTAACTGCTAAAGGAAATACTTTTTTTTAGCAGTTGAACACCAAACTAGCGCTAACTCGCCGAAAACGCTTCAAAATGGCCTGAGACGCAGGTAATCAACAAAGAAAACAACAAGGCAATAAGGTAAGTCCATTTTATTTCAAAACAAGACATTTTTTTTCTCTCTTTTAAGGCAAACCGATAACATCCGATACAAACCTTTATAAATATAAAACATTGCGCAACACTGTAAGAGTCACGTCTGCTTTTCCATTATTGAGCTTGGGCTGCCTGTGACCCTTAGCATTGTACTTGACACCAACGTCGTTTCCAGAGTCCTCTGTCTTCCTTACCCGAGAGAGAAAGAGTGAGAGACCTGGGAACGAGGTTGAGGAGTCACTCGAGTGTCACGCGATGAGTAGGAACGAAAATCATGGCGACCGACTTGGAGGGTAACCTGAAGCAAAGAGCAAAAGAGGCGATTGATGTTCATTCTTCCGACTTATATGACCTGAGCAAAAGAATATGGGAAAAACCTGAACTGAATTTTACCGAGACTTACGCTCACGAGCAACTAACAAAGTTTATGACGGAACATGGTTTCAGAGTAACTCCTCATTACACTTTGGATACAGCTTTCCGAGCTGAATGCGGAGAGGAAGGAGGTCTGACAATTGGTCTACTTAGTGAATATGACGCTTTACCTGAAGTAGGACACGCTTGTGGACATAATCTGATCGCAGAATCAGGAGTGGCAGCGGCTTTAGGTAAATTCTCCATTACAGTGTGCACGGTGTTATTGATCTAAAGAAACAATTCGAAGACAGCTTTCGAAAGATTAAAATATGAAATGAAGTGAATCTCTTTGTGAAGGTAATGAACGCGTTTTTTGTCAAGGTCGTGTAATAAATACGCCGAATTTTTTTACGAGTTTTGTGGTATTTCGACAAAAAAAAAAGGTCAATCAGATCAACATAGTTAAGTAAGTTAGTACTTTGCCAGTATTATTGTCATCAAGACACCTACGTTAGTAATTCTTTGCAATTTTAAGCATTGTCTTAGGTAAAAAAAATTGATAATCGTATTCCAATTAATATTTAGATCTTTCAGTATAGAAAAAAAAAGTCAGTCAGTACTGTGCAATCTACTATATTGAAATGTTTTTCTTCTTTTAAATTTTGCATTTAAATTCTTGAAATTATATAGAAAAGGTGATGATAGTAAGTTAAAGTAAGAAACTTGCTTGCATAATTTACCTTTTCTTGTTACTGTTATTTTTGTTTACAGGTCTCAAGATTGCTTTGGAATCAGCTGAACAGAAACCAAAAGTCAAAGTAGTTCTTCTTGGAACTCCTGCGGAGGAAGGAGGAGGGGGAAAGATTTTGATGATCAACAATGGCTGCTTCAAAGATATTGACTTCTGTATGATGGTTCATCCAGCTCCTCATGATGTCCTTAGGCCTATATGTTTAGCATACAGTGAAGTCACAGTCACATACAAAGGGCATGCTGCCCATGCCGCAGCATTCCCTTGGGAAGGAGTCAATGCACTGGATGCAGCTGTCATGGCTTATACAAGCATAAGTGCACTAAGACAGCAGATGAAACCTACATGGCGTCTTCATGGCATTTTTACTGAGGGAGGTGTCAAACCCAACATTATTCCTGATCGTGCCCAGCTTCGTTATGCAATTAGAGCTGAGACAAATGAGGAACTTGAGGTGTTGAAGGAAAAGGTCATAAGTTGTTTCCAAGCAGCAGCCAAAGCGACTGGTAAGTAACTTTAACAGAAAAAGATCCATGTTTATGGACTTATTTCTTAGCTTTCCCTAGCCTGCCCTTTTGGTTTTGCCTAAGTAAAGTGATAGGGTTGTTATTTTTCTATTTGCAGGGTGTAAAGTATCTTTGGAATGGGAACCTAGACCTTATTTCAGTTTAGACACAAACGACACTCTTGTAGACCTCTATCAAGCTAATGTTGAGACCTTGGGAGTGACCTTCAATCCTTTCAAGGAATATGGCAAGGGCTCAACAGATATGGGCAATGTCTCCCAGATAGTTCCATCATTTCATGTGATTTACAGTATTGATAGCAATGCTGTGAACCATTCTCATGCTTTTACAGCTGCAGCAATAACAGATATTGCCCACAAGAAAACTTTGACTGCAAGCAAGGGGATGGCTATGACTGCTATTGATGTTCTGTGCAATCCTGATTTAATGCAGAAAATCAAGAAGGACTTTGAGAAATCACACCCATGCAATAATGTAACTGATGAAAACCAGTTCTAATTGAGAAATACAATTAAACCTATAGAAAAGTATAGTTAGTGTACCTTCCCTAGAGATGGAAATGACTAAAAAATTTGAGCTTAATGTGGAATTCCTTGAGAGATGATTGTGTACACATTTATTTGTCCTTTCAACTCGACATCATGGCCCTTTGTCTGCTAGGCCTTTTCTCTTATCCTTATAAATATTCAATATACCATTTATTTGCCACATTGCAGAATTAACTGAGTTAAAGGGCTAAATTTAAATTCAATAATTAATAAAACTACAATTACTATAAGAACAATAAAAATATCTCTGTTAACTATTTACATGTTTGCATATTCACCATTGAAAGAGAAAAAGGAACCTGAACACTGGGTCCGTCAGCGACTCCTATCAGCGTAAACAATACTGTTCTGTTGTTGTCACTGGATCGAAGGTTGTAACTATGACCACTCACTGCTGTTCTCGGTATAAGAAAGTTAATGGGGTGGGAATTTTAGACATCTTCCAAACATATTTAGAGCAGAGCTGAGTTCATCTTTCTTTCAGGCTCTCAAGGTTAGTAATATTAAGGGCATCTAAATAACTATGGCATGGATAGATAATATGTAGAGCCCTCTTTTGAATTGATTCCAGCTTATTAGAAAGAAATTCAGGAATATCTTGCCAGGCTTGCACACCGTATTCTAATACAGGTCTTATTGTTGTCAGGTAAACCTTAAGAATTCCACCTCTTTTAACACCAACTCTTTTCAGAATCCTTAGGGAATACAGGCGCTTGAAGGCTTTTTTCGAAATGTAATCAATATGCTCATTCCACTTTAAATCATTACTGATAATAATACCGAGTAATTTATAAGTTGTCACATGTTCAACTGTGTAGTTACCTAGGACAATATTATTGGTCTTGAAGCAAAGTTATCACTTTGCATGAAGTTAATTAACATTTCTTTACACTTTTTCGGATTTAATTTCATATTGTGTTCTATGGAAAACTTGTGGATGTCATTGGCAGCTACATTTAGTAATCTAATACCATTCCTTGGTAAAATTTCCAATGCTGTGGTATCATCAACGAATTTAATTCTTAAATGCCAGTTACACAAAAGATTGTTGGTCATCACAGCGAACAAAATCACACCCAGTTTCGTCCCTGGCAGGATGCCTCCCCTGGGTGATTTCCCGGTTAGCTCAATGGATAGAGCGCTGGACTGTTGTGCGGGAGGTCGAGGGTTCGAGCCCCGGCCGGACCAACACTCAAGGTCTTAAAATAATTTAGAAGAATATGCTACCTTTCTTAACATCAAGAAATGGTTAGATATTCTAGTCTTCTCGGATAGGGAGGAATAAATGGAGGTCCCGTCTCCTGCAGGGTTAGGGACAGGAGACGTTAATTTCCCACGTATGAGATTACTGTGTGATGGATGTCCTCCCCTGGGGTGGGATGGGTGGGTTTGTTAGAGCTTAAAACCTCGTAAGGGACCCATGTCCTATTGTTTCTGCTCCAGTACTTGGGTTCTGTCCTCGTGTACCGGTTCACAAGAGCCGTTACAAAAGACCGAACAATACACAACAACTAACCAATGACTCCTAAACAAAAAAAGAACAATGGTAATTCCCTTGTGAACCGGTACACCAGGACAGAGCCAGTACTTGGTACAAATCCTCAATTAAATAATAAATAAAATCAGACAGAGAGTTCCCAATCCTTACAGCTTGCGATCCCTGTCATCAAGAGTGAAACAGCATCTGATTTCTCCTTACAATGTTACCCGTGATGTACATATTTTCATGTTTGCACCACCAGTCGATATTTTGTAATGGTTCGTGATTCCGGACATGGACCACCCCTATGGACCACCTCACTGGAACTGAGTTTTGTCGTACAGGTAGGAAACATGGAGGAAGGTGAGAAGGGAAAGTGTCGCTATTTTACAATTTTGGATGTTCCTTTGCAATAAATACTCACCGGACCTTTGGATCGTTTCAAGGCAGCTGCCATCTGGGATGAGGGAGCGCGAAGGGGCTGGAGCGAGTTTATGTTATCCGGCGCTTCGTTTATTACGGAAACTGAATGATTCTGTGCTCTCTCATTAAAATTACAAGCTAGCCATTAAACTTTTTCATCAATATACCTTGATTACAAATTTGTGTTCGTAGGGTAAACTTCGCTTATAAAACAAATCGGCTTATTTTTATGCACGATAAAGTATGATAAGCGGGGTAGGGGTGTAGAGGGGTGTCTTCCCGATCGAATTGCAATTTGGAAGTGTTGGAATGAAAATATTGGGGGTAGAAATGCACTCGATCTTCTGTATCTCAAAACGAGTTTATGGTCTTCCTATTTATGGGGGCGCGATAAATACGAGCCCGTGTTTTTCATACCCTGACCTCCGGTAAATTTTCATATTAACAGGGGCGATCTCCTTCTCAAAAATTAGGGGGGGTCCATGGATCCCGGTCCATGTTTTGTATACGTTCCGTGATTCCTCGCACGCCTTTGAAAAATTATCAAGAAGAACTGCTATGTAAGGCATTGTTTGAGTTCCTACGCTTTCTTTTCTGGAGGGGGGCATTGTGATTTTCGGTTTTGTGGTTTTGGCTAATTTTTAAATCACTGTTTGTTAGTTTTTGTGCCAAAATAACTTCGATTTTTCGGTTTTGGTGTTCATTGCGGTTGGCGGATTTTTTCTTTTTTCTTTCTTTTGTTTTTTTTTTTTTTTCGCAGTTGGTCTTTAGTTTTTGCCAAAAAAACTAATGGGTTTTTGGATTTGGTATCTGATGTGGTTTTCGGCTTTTCATATTTGGGTTCTTGTTTCTCTAATCCGTCCTCCACTTGTGACAACTGTACGGCTTTGCATACGGCTTGCGGTTTTGATCGAAATTTTTTTTTTAAGCGTTTCAGTGGTTTTGGAGGATTTTTTCTAAGGTGTTGCAATCAATAGACCCCAATGACCCCCCTCTCCTTTCTGGCTAAGAGTTCGAGGTGTTATGAAGCTGCATTTGCGAGACTCGTGACACAACTAGTCACCCTTCACACGAATCACATGCCTGTCATGTGAACAACCTAGCTTAGAGATTAACATGGTTTCAGGATTACTTCACAACCGTCGTTAAAACTTTGACTGGAACAGACGTAGCAAATCTATAAGCTTTCCTCAAATCAAGGAAAAAAATTATACTGGGTACAACACAGGCTCGTGACATACATTCTTTAGTTACCGAGACCAGAGTTAATAGAGGGAACAAAAATTCCCTCTATTAACTCTGCCGAGACCTAAGAGGACACCTTTTCAAGCGCAGTGTTACTATACTTCGTCCGATCATATAAGAATTAATGGCGGGTGAACTTGAAGAAATCCTAAAGGAAAAAGCAAAACAAGCAATTGACGCCAATTCTTCTGAATTATATGATCTTAATAGAGGAATATGGGAGAACCCGCTACTGAATTTTGAGGAGAAGTACGCTCACGAGCAGCTGACATGAAGTTTTTGGTGGAGCATAGTTTCAATGTAACTCCTCACTACACTTTGGATACGGCTTTCCGAGCTGAATGCGGAGAGGATGGAAGTCTGGCAATTGCTCTGATTAGCGAATATGATGCTTTACCCGAAGTAGGACACGCTTGTGGACATAATCTGATCGCTGAATCAGGAGTAGCGGCAGTATTGGTAAAACATTAAGTTTATTTGTGTGTAACTCATTCAATATGCACGCCACGAGAGGCAAAATACCTAGGTCTCGTTTGGTCTTTTATTATTTCTCATCAGACCGTGTGTTAAAGAACTTGTGCGCGCGCGACTCGCGTGCGCGTGCTTTGGGATTACGTAAGTTAATAATATCGTAAGCAAATCACGCGGACCTTTTAATTTTGACGTGTGTGATTTTTTAGAGGGAGTTGAAAAGTTTTTAGTTTATCGAGTAGCAGTTTTGTTTAATGGTCGTTGTCGTTTACCGTGAGTCTACAGTTTACCGTGTTGGAATTAAAGTGTTTGTTTAGATTTCCCGTTTCGCTTCCGAACACTGTGTATTTCTACTGATAGAGTAAATTTGGCTTTCACACTTTTTAAAATTGTTGTTAAAGGCCTATTTAGCAACGCCAGGTTTGTTCCAATGAGGTAAGGTGAAATTTTAGTACAGTGACGGGGACGAAAGCGTGAGACAAGACTTTGCTAACCCTTGACTCCCAGAGGTGATTATCATGTAACTTCTCCCTTTGATATCCAACAAACAGGTAATGAAAATACTCAAACTTTTCAGGTAGAAGTTTTATCTTGATCTAACACCAAATTCTTATGAGTCGTGTACTAGCAAATGTGTGGCAGCTGAAGAGGAGAATTAACGATCAGATCTCGGAAGTAGAAGGGTTTTAACCCTCACAAAAATGAGGCGCCCATACAAGGTTGCGTCACAGTTTCTATGAAGCAAGGATGTCACATTTCTGTACCGTCCTAATTTCGCTCTGAAAAAACTGAAAACGCTCATTCTCACAAAATCTCTACAGGTCTGAAAATTGCTTTGGATTCAGTAAATCAGAAGCCCAAAGTCAAAGTAGTTCTTTTTGGAACTCCTGCCGAGGAAGGAGGAAGGAGGAGGGGGAAAGATTTTGATGATAAACAATGGCTGCTTCAAAGATCTTGACATCTGTTTGATGGTTCATCCTGCCGATAAAGATGAGCTTAAACCTCCATGTTTAGCCGTCGAACAAGTCAAAGTCATCTACCATGATCATTCCTCACCTGCTGCTGCATTCCCGTGGAACGGAGTCAATGCACTGGATGCAGCAGTCATGGCCTATACGAGCATAAGCGTATTGCGACAGCAGATGAAGCCCAAATGGCGAGTTCATTCCCGTGGAACGGAGTCAATGCACTGGATGCAGCAGTCATGGCCTATACGAGCATAAGCGTATTGCGACAGCAGATGAAGCCCAAATGGCGAGTTCATTCCCGTGGAACGGAGTCAATGCACTGGATGCAGNAGCAAGGATGTCACATTTCTGTACCGTCCTAATTTCGCTCTGAAAAAACTGAAAACGCTCATTCTCACAAAATCTCTACAGGTCTGAAAATTGCTTTGGATTCAGTAAATCAGAAGCCCAAAGTCAAAGTAGTTCTTTTTGGAACTCCTGCCGAGGAAGGAGGAAGGAGGAG